TGATTACTTTGCGTTCTTACTTGTCTCCCATGGCTAATAGGTAAATATCGGTGAGAACAAGAATATATAGACAAGATGCTCTGCATGTTGTCACCCTCAAAGTCTCTACCAAGAAACAACATCGTTGGAGGCTTTCTTTCTGTTTGCAACATTGACTCATGAATGAGGAATCTTAGTAGGTAGCTCTTTGGTCAGGTTGTTATTTTTGAGTTTCTTTCTTGGTGATCCTAATTGTTGTTTTATGTGTTTGATGTTGTTGTCCAGGTTATAACTTTTAGCTAATGGCTGCAATTGAGTTACTTTAATAGGTTGGTTTGCCTGATTTAATAGGTGTTACCTTAGCCAATTGCTAAACTACTTATGAGCTAACTAAAATTGTAGTCTATAATTCAGGTTCTTCGTATTTTGTTGTTGAAATTGGTAGGCTGAATCCTCGATTTTATTCTAAGAAAAGTCTTTGCTATTTTGTAGTAATTTTTAATTTTGTATTTGTATTCTTTATAGGTTCTTGTGCGTATGTTATCTGCTGTGTGAGTCTAGAGGCTTTTTTAGGCAACTGGAATCACTTAGTCAAAATTCTGTTGATGGAGATGGTCAATTTCCTTGAAAAAAAAGGTACATGTGTCTTACATATATTGTGTTTTTGCATTGGGGCACCCGTGTTTTCTACTAGGAAAACTGCAAAAAATGCAATTTTTTCGAATAATATTTAATCTGCTTGATTTAAAAAATGTCAGTTAATGTGTGTTTTTAATGTGATTTGTGATTCTAATATATCAATGGATATTACTCTATGGTATTATGTCAGTATGTTATGATTCTTTGGGGTTGGTTCCAGTTGTTGATAAGAGACTTTTATCTAACGTTAAATAGTTACTGGATTCTGATTATTAGTAGACATTTGGGGTCACATTGTGTCAAACGGTGTATGTATGTGTATGTATGTATACATAATATGCAATGACAGAATACCTATACAAACATTATAAATGACACTGCAACACAAATAGCTCTATATCTTGATGGTTAAGCGCCTACTATTCAGAGTTTAGTCTAGAGTTCAAACCTTGGTCATGAATTGCGCTTTTTTTAAAATTAAAAAAAAAATGGTCAAAGTAAAATTTTTAATTTCTGCCAAATTTAGGTTGTTTACAAACTAGCTCTATTTGACTCTAGAGACTAGCTCTCAAAAATAGCCTCTGAACAACAACTGATAAAATAACCTAGTGCACACCTCAGTCTTTTACCCGTCTGCTGAAACATACAGGTTGTGAGAGAGAGGCTTGAACCATAACTCCTTATCAAGTGAGATAATACAAAGCAATCAACTTACGATTCATTTCCATAATAAACTTCTTTTTCTTTTTTTATTTGCATAACTTAGACAATTAATTTGTTGATAGTTGATACTTGATACAACCTTAAACAAGATTATTCAAGAAAACTTAAATTGGAATATTATTTTTTTTAATCAGATGTCCTCGAGGAACAACAAACTTAAAATGTATATAGCAATTTTGTTCATTTGTTCATTTCTTCGAATGTTGACATTACTTATAGAACATCCTACATACTCCTTTGTAGGTATTATACTCTGTGGTATAGTATTAGGAGTGAATGATATAGTACGATTCCCCGTATGTATTGATTCTTTAAAGTTGGCTTTGGTTGTTGATCCAACGTTGAACAGTTAAACATGTGCTTAGAACTTTGTTTTAAGGTGAGAATGTGCTTAGAACTTATAGGATGAAAGTTTGCAGAGTCGGTGGTTGATTTATGAGCTTATGGATACTGCTGTTTTCCCACTAATATTTTTTCCTTTATAAAGAGGTGTTAAATATAATAACAAAATGAAGGAGTTTTTTTTTTTGTCTTATTGTGAATATGTTGCTGGGTTCCGACTTATCAAAAATATGTTCTTAGGTTCTGACATTGAGACGACTGAACTTCAGGTAAAGATTAGTGAGGAGTTAACTATGAAAAAGGTCTACATTCAGTTCCTCTGGTTTTTGTCTTGAAAATGATTGACAAAATCCAAGTTTACATTATTTACGTTTGGTAGTTTGCATTTCAACTCTGCTATTTAATTTGTAAATGGTAATGAACACAAGGATTCTTAAAATTCCTCATACTTTTATTTAGTTGTTGGTTGTTGTGTGTTTCGTCTATTTGTCGTGTCCAGCTACTCATAATTGGAAACTGGCGACTAAGGGTGCCAGCTGAGCTACAAGCTTAGTTTCTTTTTTATTTTTTAATTAGGGGAATTTGCAGTACTTTATATCCACCATTAGATTGACCATTTTAGTTATTCATCAGTTTACTTAACAAAAGAAAGAGTAGATTTGGCGTTCCCCGTAATATATGCTCCTACCATTTTTATGGCTTGCGACTTAGTTATGGGCCTGTGTTTGGCAAACACCTGCATTGCTTCTTGTGCATCTATTTGACCCGCCAACTTCGTGGAGTTTTTGAGGTTTGTAGCACTACTTTTTACGACATGGTGATTTAATGGAGCAATCAGAGAGGTAGTAACATTCTTCTTTGTAACTGCGATCCTTATAATGATTCATTTTATTCTTTTCATTGAACTTCAAAAATCAGTCTACTCTTGGATGATAACTTTAATTAACAACTACACATCTGAATATTGAAACAAAGATAATTTTCCGAGCATCTGTCTTTCATTTTTCCAGTGCAGAGCTTGATGTTTAGGGACATGCTGGAGTGTCGGCTTTGCTTTTGTAGGAAGCAAAAAAGTGTTTGAATTTTCCAACCTGAATTTCTGTATCTAACCTTTAGTTATTTATGTTGATGAAAACCTCTTTATTATTAGCTAAGTAAGGAGTTAGGAAAGAACCCAATGACATTTTTATATCCAAGAAGCTCTATCATCCAAAATATAACTGCTACAAAAGTATGTCTGAGAAAAAACTACCATATTGTTATAAAATAAAGACTGTAAAGTAAAGACAAGTATAGAGAGAAACTGTTATATTATTCGAATTCAAACTGATGTACATAATGAACTGAAATCTCTTCTATTTATAGAAGAAAGGAAGCTGATGTGTAAGCTGATACTATACCAGATATGGATAATCTTCTACTGAGAGCAATGTTTATCCATAACGGGGTACTGAAAGGATAAGCTTATTATACCCGGTATGGATAATCTTCTACCGGGGGTAATGTTTATCCATAACTGGGTACTGAAAGGATAAGCTTATTATACCCGATATAGATAATCTTCTACCGGGGGTAATGTTTATCCATAATTGGGTACTGAAAGGATAAGCTTATTATACCTGATATGGATAATCTTCTACCGGGGGTAATATTTATACATAACTGAGTACTGAAAGGATAAGCTTATTATACCCGATATGGATAATCTTCTACCGGGGGTAATATTTATCCATAACCGGGTACCGAAGTGATAAGCTTCTTTAGAAAGCTTATTTCCAATAGAGTACTAAATAGATAAACATATTTACGGGAAGTCCCATATGGATAAGCTTCTTCAAGAAGCTTATTTACAATGGAGTACTAAATGAACATCCA